AAGGGCGAGAGAGCGCATTGGCATTACCACGACCACCCTGGCGACGTAGGCCGGCATGGGCCTATTGGGCGTCCATCATCCTTAGATCTGTGCTTTACTTGCCATTTTAGAAATTTGTATGTAATACAGCCTCAGCGGTTGCCAACCGGGTGAATCCTGCACATCTGAGGGGTTTTAGCCTGATGCATCGCAAACCGTGCCTTTGATATCAGGGGCGGTAGTAGGGCGCTGATCGACGGAGAGGGGGCATTCTGCTTTTCATAGATTTGCCAACCCATCTAGGTACCCTTTTTCGAGTTGACACGTTTTAGGATGGTGGCTAGACGATCTTGCTCCAGCTTCACAAGCGTTCACAAGTTTTACCAGAGTGAGATTTGTAAACCGGAACCAGGGAAGCAATTATAATACAAAATGCCCCCTCCCTCTATAAACAGCGCCGTAGTAATCTACCTAAATCTCGCAATCAAATGTGATGAGTTGCTCGCAGTTATGCAGAACAACGAGCGACGTATGAGCGAGGCAACCACGCTGGAAACAACGAGCTTCGCTAGGCTATTTGCAAAACTTCGCTCGCGGTCGGTATCGATCTCGCCACCATGCAAGTGGTAGCGCGCATAATTGTCGCTACGCTATCACTAGTATGCTGACTTGGCGGCGGTCCCTGGTAACAAGCAATGAGCTGAACATGGCAAACAGTTATGGACTTTTCTTTTTCAAACTACTTGAAAATTTTGTTTGAAGTGGCTCTTTTTGTAACTTTTGCACGAAGACCTCTACCGAATGGTCCCTATTCCATGCTCCGCCCACTTCTAGAATATCCATAGATATCACATGTTCATTTGTGGCCCGTTTCGCCACAATCCGCGAAACCTCCCATGGAACACCGACCGTACTTTGTACGAGCAGGCATTGTCGACGCTGGCAAGTATCAGTTTAATTACCCAAGTTTGGGGTACTCTAAATTCAGTCGCTCCTCTCCCCCAACCATTCCGCTCACCAGCCACTTCGATTCATCTCGGCCCTAGGACATATCGGATGATACTGACTTACTTGATCTCTTGATCTACATAGTCCTGCTAGGAGAAATTTTGATTTTTTCCAATTTTTCCCCCTCAAATCCCCCTAGTCGAATCGGAGAACCGGCTATATCAATTCATATTCTAATAGCACATCTTTATATGATATTTGCATTTTTCGCTACTCACCCCTTATACCCGTTTTACTAGAAAATATTTCACTTTTTCC